TCCCGATCTAGTCGGGCCATACTTTTGGTCGATTTTTTATCACCTTACCTCTTAAATTATGTCAGGAAAAGTTAGTTTTGCACCAAAACTTTTTTTCATTTCTCGGATCATTCTGGTCAGTAGCTTTTATCTAAGGTTAGCCTTTACAGATCTATAAGCAATTTAGTGTATGGAAACTCAGCAAATGCTCAATTTTGATGACTATTGAATCAGTTAAGAAATTATTTTTGAGGTTGTCAGCTATCCACATTAAATCTACAACCTTGCCCTACAAGGTCTCGAAGTGCTAACAGGTCAAAACATTGGATTCGGCTTAAATTTAATGAAGCTGATATGCACGTCAGACGCATTACGATTACATTTCTTGAGAGCTAATGTACAAGCACTAGAAAGTGCCTACAGAACGCAATTGGCAGTAATTAATTACTCTTCATTTAAATATGAAGAGCAAGATAGAAATTTACGTGCGTGGCAAATGCCTTCTTTATCAAGGTCATTGGTCCAACCCGGTGAATGTTTATCCAATTGTAATATCAGTAACTGTAATATCATGTAGTTACAAAAGATAAAACTTCGATTGTATTTCAATGTGCAAATGTGTAAATATTTATTGTCAGAATAAAAAAGAATAAATTTTCCAGTCCTTTCAATGTATCCCTATTGACATTCCTTTTCTATGTTTTATTAATAACAACTACTATTTTTGGCAATAATGTTTGTTTTTGCTGGTTCATTTAAAAACCTCTTATCTGTTCAATTATCAAAAATATAAATTAATTAAAATAACAATTTAAATTGCTCTATTGCGTGTACTCCACATATTCCCTTTATACTTAAGAGGGGGAGAGGTTAAAAGAAGATAGTGCTAAAAGTGGGCAAGATCTAGATTTTGCTTAGTTGACCCTGTCGCATTTGATATCTTCTGTTCATATAGTGCGATCCTCAAATTTTGCAAGCTCAGTTCCATCCAGTGCTTGTACAATTAGTCTTGATATACTCTTCTGGGTCTTGTAGGTGAATATTTCAGCTTTAATTGGGACACTTAGCAACCTTAAGAACAAAGGTATTTAACCGAACTTTTAATCATTGTGATGAGCAGTTTTAGGGTTTACATGATATTGAATGGCTTATACCTGACTTGGGTACGGCTAAACTTATATAAAAGTTACTAAGTTCCTTTTTGCTCGGAATGATCCAGGATATCAGAAAAAGGTCGTGGCAAAATAACTGTTTTTCGTGATGATTTTAGAGAGGAGTCGATTCAAAAAAGATATCGAGCAAAATATGGTAGAGCAAGATCTGGATTATTATTCTTTGACCTCTTCTCGTTGATATCTGTTCATAAAGTGTCAATTCCATCCAGCGCCTGTTCTATACTATAATCAAATTATCGCAGACCGTGAGAGACAATAGTTTCCCTTAAACATTAACAACAAAATTATTCGATCGTGTTAGCACCTTCAAATAATGTATACATCTGAAAGGTATTTGCGGTGTGTCAACTACCAACTTTACACAATCATTATTTGTCCATAAAGTCCAGTGCAGACAAGCTAATCCACAAAACTGCTTTTCGAGCTGGGTCGTATATCTCATAAGCTCATTCCGGACTCCACTTCACATGCCAAATTCATATCGTATATTTGTGTTTACTAACTAATAACAGAGATAAAGCCCAGTTTATGTATTAATTAACTAACTCATCCCAAGAGTCATATATGTATATGTCACATTATGCGAATGGGTAATATTACGCTGTGCACAAAACCACAAAGACTCCATGGTTGTTTGCCAAAAGGCAAATGCTATATACATACATGTGTGATCGTATATATTCAGACGAATGACCTAGTTCACATTCCTCTATGTAGCTGGAGAAATTTATGGATAACAATTAAAACTAGGGGAAACAAATTCTCCGCATGCGTTTGTAGATACGCACTTGACATGGATGTGCGGTATACAGTATGTTGGGTACAATTAAAAAGGCATATTGACTTGATTCGTTCCATCCACATATCAATGGCGTCAAGTAGGTTGGCTCTGCACTTCTTGCGCAACGCCATCAGTTCATAAAGGACTCAGTTCGGCGCAATTGAAATCCTCGGACAAAAAGGTCAACTATGAACACGCACAACAGAGAAATTAAACGTCAGTTACTGTCCAGCTGGCAACATTGACTCCTTCCGCATCTGCGCGACAGCGCCCAGTATTGCTGCAGCGATTTATCGTTCATTTGGTGCATGGACCATCTATATATCTTTTGCGCTGCAGTACTGATACCTTAGTCAGCGTATTGGGCTTAGATAGCAGGAGTACGCAGATCGAAAACATGTCTCGATCATTCTAAGCTTTAAAGTGACGTGTGAAGTATGATTGATTTTTATTTTTTTTTTCGGTTTTTGTCCGCCAACACTGGACCGACTTTCAAAAACTATAAATCATTTTCGTTTTTGGCATAGCAGTAACCTTGAGTCAAAATTACGTCAAAATCCAAGCGGCACTTCTCAAGTTATAGACGGGCCAAGGATTAGCAGTCCGATAGACAGGGAGAGACAGACAGACCGATAGCGACAGACATGGTTTTTCGTGATGTGAAATCAGGAAGCAAAATCAGCCTTGAAATTCTTATTTCACAGGCTATATCTTAAACGGCTTGTTGACATATGAGCTGTAGTTGGGCTTCGCATTTCAAGTGACACTGGTTATATTATAATTTCATTAAAATAGAACGGTGCCTTTAATAAAAAAGTCCGACCTTGAAATTCTTATTTCATGGATTACATCTTAAACGGCTTGAAGAATTTTGACATACGTGGTGTTGTTGGATTCATCTTGGTAGGGCCACTGCTGTTGGCTTTATGCAGTTTTTATAAAAAAATATGGAGAATTAAAAAAAACTACCTTTAAAATTTCTATTCCACTAGCTACAGCTCGAACGGCTTGATGGATCTTGACATAATATGAGGTGTCTCTAGATTTCTGTTGATAGCTTTTAAAAACGTACTTGTTGGTTTTTTGCTTTCTTTCATAATAAGTAAAATACTGTCGAGAAGGACAGAAGCTTCCCAGTAGCTTTTGGATTAACTTTTCATGATAGCGTTTAGTCGACTTCTAAGATTTTTATCTCACGGCGTTACCGTGAGAAAATAAATTCGTGAGATCTAAGTTCGCGCCTTAATCATTTTCCTTGATATAGTCATGGTAGTCATTATTGAAGTGCGTCATAGGGGGGCGGAGTCAAAACAAGTCAAAAAGTTCATATGACCCATGGTCCAAAAGCCAACAGATTTTTGTCTAAATGGCTTTATAGTTGAAAACGTTTTTAAATTGGGTAATTAAAAAATAAATGGCATTAAGTTTTTCTAAGTTAATCCAAAATTTGTAGTCAGTAAGTAAGTTTCATTAAATATTTAAAACACACATGACAACAGCGCGTCGGTCATTCATCACTGTTATCTAACCGGCAATCGATCGCAAACGATAACAGTGGTTAATTATTGTTAGCGTACGTCGTTGTGTTTATTTACAATGTTCTCGAATCAAGAGTACGCCGACATGTTAGTTTACGATGAAGCTCGTCAGAATTAAAATCTTACAGCGCAAATTTATTGCGACAGATTTCGCCAAGCGGTACACCCAGACAGAAGCACATTTGTTCAAGTAGAGCAGGAGGAACAAATTTCAAATATCGTGGAAATCAATGCAGATATCAGCACTCGGGAATTAGGTCGCCGCGTAGGACTATCGCATACCATAGTCCATAGAATCCTACGGGAAAATTTGCTTTATCCCTACCTTGTACAACGAGTGTAGGCCTTGTTACCAGAAGACTATCCTCGCAGATTAACATTCTGTTAGTGGTTTTTGTACATTGAAAAATCAGGATTTTTTTAAAAACATTCTAGCGACAGACAAATGTACTTTTACGCGAGACGGGATATTATATTTCTATAATACTCACACGTGGGCCCAAGAAAATCCTCATACCATTCGTGAAAGTCACTTCCAACAGTTTTTTAAAATAAATATTTGGATGGGTGTAATAACATGAACATCTTGTATGCCCTCATTAAGGTGTTAAAGTTGAAGAAAATATCCTGATTTAAATTGTTTATGCCTGAGACCACAGAAGTGGCTCAGAAATTTGGGAATGTTGATTCCTACACAACAGAAAGGAAGCTCATTTTCTACGCCATTGACTTTTTTGAAACATCTGTTGCATCATTTGCATAAATCGCCTCGCTTGAGATTTTTTGAAGAAAAACAGGTACGAATAATTGAGATAAGATTCGTGTAAAAAACTTCCACCCCTTTTATTTTTTAGGGCCTATGTTCATAGGAATCTTTTTTTTTCTTATTTTTGGATGTAGCTTCTCCTCTAGAAATATTGCTACGTTATTCTGAGTCATAATTTCTTGTTTGTCACGTTTTTATCCTTTTCGTCTGCAACTACAAAAGACCAGGCGGTCACAAAAGATGAGGCAGTCCAAGTTACCATGACAGCGCGTGGTAGTGATGATTATACTTATACTTAGGGCGTGTCAGCAAAACTGTAATTTGCGATCAGTTCTTTGAAAACCCGACTGCAAACATTGGAGCATACCCTTTCGGGCGGTGGAAGACAAGTACCATTCTGGTTAGGTGCACCACTGTGTCTACACAGAACTTGTTGCTATTAAAACCTGTCGGAATATACGTTGATATATCAACCGAAATTAAAGAATACGGACAGTTTCATAGAAGAATTCTGAGAGCGTGCGACAAATAGAGGATCGGAATGAGAAATGGGACGGAACTAAGCGAGTTTCAGCAATTCTCGTAAATCAGAATTAATGCCCGGATAAATTTCAACGAGAGAACTTTGAATCATTTGCGTTCGTAGGGCACGCTGTTTGGGACAGACGACGGAAAAATTATTTGGACCTTGTTGCACCTGCTTCCTTGATGTTGCTTTGAAGCATTCGCTATGATATTTTGTAATGTTTACGTGCTATCAGGGTACTATTCGCCAGGAGTGAAATGCTTAGTGGGTGAGGAGATTACTGAATTGATCGCTGCGGACGCGATGTACAAAAAGATCAACATCTACAGCTCGATAGTGGAATATAGGCGAGATGTAGCCTTTAGGGTAAATTCGTGGGGTCCAAATTCCGTATCACGTGGGGACAACTGAGGCCTGGAAATGCTGCAAATATTTCTCTGTAACCATTGTCAGACGCAGCCTCAATCCACGTTCCCATTTTTGCTGGGGTAAATTAGATAGACTCATTCACTGCTGATCTATATGCCAACATTTCTAAAGGCATCTTGATATACCAGTCATTCTGGTGTTCATCACAAGTCCCCCAGATAATCCAGTATCGTCTTATTAGAGCCCTCCACCATGTCATCAGACTAAGGAACTGAAGTGCAGTTGTTCTGGTCTTTCGGATTTCAAGCTTCTCCATTGTTATGTAAATACGTCAGATTCAAAGTCTCCGCCCTAATCCCAGTGTAGCTTTATAAGTACCTTTCCTTTTCCTTATTCGGTACCGGAATGCCTCCGGCCGCTTTGTGGAATAATCCATTACGACTAATAGATACCTGTTTCCTGAACTGACTTTTCGTAGATGTTCTAAGAAGTCTAAGGAAATCCTCTCAAATGATGCTTACACTGTTTTTGAACTTGCAGACACTACATGGGAACATATTTTTCCATATCTTCACGGCAACGAATCCAGTAAAATTTGTTGTTTAATCTTTTCTTGTGCGTTCTTGATGCCAAAATGACCTTGTGCTGCTATCACGCAGTTGCCGTATGAGTACTTCCCCGAGCTTTTATGATAACACACAATTTTTCTTTTGTTATTATTCCATCAGCGTTACTATTAGGGTATTACAGTATTGACCTGACTTTCTCATCTGGAAAAATACACAGCCGCTGTTTCTTTTACACCCTATAAACACATCATAGACGAATGTTACGCAATATTCGAACCAAGACCGAGGTGTACTTAAAAAAAAGACCAACCGGCACTTTGCCGTTGGGCTGCCATAGCTTTTAACAGATTTCCCGGATGCAGATTGCTCTCGGGTCTGGTGTTTGTTTCATAAATAATTTAAAGACTCTGGACGCCAGCCCGCAGCCTGCTTACTTTGGTTCTCATAGAAAACAGCCTTCCCAGAAGTATATGTGTACACGTGTGGCTTGGAGTTATATTGCACAAGGGCATTTCCGGATTTTTGCTAGAACTTTACTTCCACATACAGTGCAGTGTAAGGTTCACCTAGGCAACCAGATCCAACCTAACACTAAACAATCCCAAGCAGATTTTTCACAACACCAGAGAGAGAAAGCAGCAATGTACACGTGTATGGGTAATACGCAAGTTTTTCTTAACAAAAAAATGGCATTAAAAATGGCGCAGCGCCGTTATCAGTCCACAAGGGAGTATATTCAGCACAAAGTAGACCCTATTAGAAAAAAGTCAGTCAAACAAGTTCATAGAATTGGTCCATAGATATCCTAGGATAGGAAACACTATGCCGTAATGCGGCAAAAATATTTTTTAACGGCTAATTTTAGAGAGAAATCTATGATGTGTGAAATATGTCTCCGTAGAATTACCAAGTTTTGGACAGTATAAATATACTAAACAATTGAGATAAATCCTCCCCACCTACCTAAAAACTCCACACCCCAATCTATTACCTCTAATGTTTTTTAAAGCATCAGGATCCTTTGAAGTTTCAGCAATTTTTACTTTTTTCGGCATAAGTTTTTTTCTCTGCCGCCACTGGACCGGTTTCTGAAAACTACAAAGCTTTTGCGTCCGCACCCTATCTCATTTTCGAACATTCTTGCGATTACAATACTTCCCGACCAGTATGCGTGGTAAGTAAAAAGACATGCAAAGTGTTCTCTATCTAGTACTAAATCATTTGTTCATGTCACCACTTAAAATTATCTTGGCCCTATCACCAAGTAAGATGGCAAACGGGATTTTAACTTATTCACTATCTCATTATTAAATAAATATAATCGCCTTGCTAAAACATTAGGGGATGTTTTAGTCACCTCACTGGATCTAACACTGTACTCGTGTATCACTTATTTGATGGAAGCCAGATAGATGTCACTGAGCCACTTCATTTGGAAAGTAGCATGATGCATCGACGATCATTCTTTGTACCTAGTTCTGGAAGCCTGAAGAACAGCGATATTGAAGCTCGTTATGTTCCATAATAAGCTATCAAACGCCCAAATAGCTTGTTATCCAGCAATGATAGTATGAATTTGATATCAATAATCTACGAGTACATGTCTCCGAGTTATATGCCTTTTGTGTCCTTTTTGGAAAAGTGCATTTGTAACCTTTGTTATGCAATACTTCCATCTTAATGGATTTTGAGATGCTCCGCATGCAAATATTGTGGAATTTGTCAATTATAGGTAGTTACAGGTTTTCCTGAATAAGGTGACTGTCACATTCGTGGGCTTAGTTTCATTGGCTTTATGCTCCATCTCTCTAGCGAGCCCTCAATTTGGACTGTCTTTCTGGACAGTTTTCTATGCATTGTCTGGATTCTCAGGTGATGCCAAAATAGTCGTAACATCTGCAAATAATGCCATATAGTATATCTCACGTGCAGTTGTTAGCAATATACAGAAGCGGTTGGGTATTGAAATACCTCATTGCTGGACTCCTGATGTTTGTTTCACAAATTAATTTAGAGACGTTGGCACGCTAGCAAGTGGTGGCAGATATTTCACGAACTACTACTAACATTTGTAAATCACGAATCACAACTGTAAAAGTAACGATATCAGATATCGCAGGTATTCAAAAATAACGATATCGGCCATATCTAATGCCAATTCACATGATAATAACAACGTTTGTTGGAATAACGTAGATGCACAACATCATTATCTTGCAATAAACATAGAATAGAAGATTGAACTTGTACTAGAGTTCACATGAGAATGAAAAAATACAAATGGGTATCTAACACACACGTTAAATAATGTAGGTATTATAATGAAAACATGTAAAAAAAATATATTTTTCTAGGTGTAAGATTTGGCTAAATTATTCAGACTTTTGATATAAAATTAATTGTTTTTATAATATTTCTCCTTAAATGTTCAATAATGATTTTTAGGGTCTATAAGTTAATGGATCGAGTTCCTTAGTTCCTGTATAATCTATGACTTGATGTGTTTTTTAGAACTTTTTGACCTTTTAAGGGCCGATTTCACCAACATTAATATTATGGACCAATACCTTATCGAAATTCAATTTGACGGAAGCTGTCAAAGGTATCAGAATATCAGTGATTTCAATTAAAATGCTGAATAAAATCGTGAAAATTCGACTGTATTATAAACAAGACCACCTTTTGATTCCAACATGATGCTTTTGTACAGAGAAAACAGGACAACTTTCATGTATTTTGATTCATGTTATAGGTGTACATTTGACCATCCGTTATCCCCTTAGCGAATGGGAATGGGAGAAATAATAGGTCGATTTTCTAGCTATTAAATTTGGCAGCAGGTTTGGTCGTTTGTAATTCATGGCAATCTCGAAATTTGTTAAGTTCAATATACTGTGTGTATATGTGATCATTATAGCTACACATACCTGTTGAATTGTGCGGATTTGCAAGAAAATAGAATATAAAATGTATTCCAACCAATTCCTCATCTCTCTTTACATCATAATAGTAATGATTTGTTATAAATTCATGGGTTAATGAATTTCTTTAAAGCAATCAAAACAGTATGGTCGTCCCCATCCTAAAACAACGATATGTGTAAAACATGTTAATCCCTACATCTCCGAGGTGCATAATGCAATTACTGTAGACATAGACTTAAAATTATTAGTAACTACTGAAAAATAAGAGCTAAAAAGAATTATAAATAGTGACAAAATATTGGTGGTTAAGGTTTTTGACTGGTGACTGGTGGGGATACAATATAGGGAAACATCGATACATCGGACGTAGAGCATCGATCTTTAAGCATCGATGGTTTCATGACGATATATCGATATCGAGAGGAATCATAAACATCCGTAACCGTATACCCCGAGTCTATCCTTAACTGTGCTACCATCTCTAAGCGAGGACTGGTGGCTTCGAAATTGAAAGGCCAGAAAGCTATTTAGGTGTTTAGTAGTATTTGAATATTATCATTACAGACGAGCACTGAGCCACTGAGTGGCCACTGAGCACTGTAGTATTTTCTTCATTCTGTTCTTCCCCAAGGGATAGAAAGGACTGAAAACAGCGCGTTTAATGATTTTCAGTTCTCAGAGAAAGATTTTTCCCTATCGGCCCTTGACATCGTTTCGAAATATGAAATTCTGGAAACGCTATAAAAATAAAAATGAATACACAAAGCCTACTTACCTATTTCAGACAAAAACGAAAACAACTGCCACATAACGATTGTCACCTTGACATCATTCTGCAATCTGTCAAAGTAGTGATGGGCGTGCCTGCTGCACGGTATACGGTATCGATATTCGATAAAATATTTTTCTTTCTACCATGAATGCGTGGAAAAAACAAAATAAGGAGAGATTTAAGATAAGGAGTTATTGAATGCCTAAAATAGCCAGGCGCTAATAATTCCCGGCCGTATTTGAATATCTAAGCAGGCACAGTAAAACAAAAATAAGATTTGGAGTTAATAAAGTTTATTTCGACAGTTGGCAGAGTTTGCTCCACTGGGATGAAGCGTTGACAGAATTATGTGTCACCTGTCGATATGGTTAGCTTTAAAATACCAGGAGATAATCAGCTGTTATTGAAATCAGTGTATATGTTTTGTGATTCAAATAACGTCTAATATAAATATAAACCAGAATATGTATTCAGTGAAAAAAGAAAAATATTGCAAATTTCTAGTTTTTTTGCAGGTTTTAGGTTTGCTGGTAGCTCTACGACATATATTTGGGTATTTCTTAATCGCTGTGAATATAGTGTGGATGCTTGTTAAGTACCTGAACAACGAAAAATATTCAACTGTATGGATGTATGGATATTAAAAAACCAGAATGGTTTTCTGGGAATATCAATCTAAGGTGCTATAATGGTTCTGATGAACGGCAAGTCAATGAATGAAAGTTTGGGAACGAGCAATATCTATGAACTTTTTGGTAGAACCAGTCATCAAGTAGGTGCTTAATGGCTATCTACAAGAGGTTTATAGGAAAAAACACCCAGTAGATGATCTTGAATCAGTAAAATCGCATATCAATTGAAGAAAATAATATAAACATGAATAAAAATCAACAATAGTAATTAAATCATGAATTTTATTCAAAAATCAAACATTTGTTTAAATTTTGACTGAATTATATGTAATTTCTTAATATCCAATAAGCTGATGATGTTTCAATGACAAGATGTCATCTCATACTTTGACAGTATTTTGTTTTCAACATTTCATAGCTATTGGTTGCTAAAATTTGTTGATTGGAACTTGAAGCTCATTTGCTATATTTAACGGGCTGTTACCCTATAGGTGGAGAATAACGGACTGTTGTTGGTGAAATTGGCCCTAAAAATCTTTATTGATGCCGGAACATGATTGAAAAATTCTGGGCCTGAAAAAAAAAAGACCTTTGACCGATGGTTTTTGTAGATTATCGCACAGATACTGAATTATGTTTAAATCTTGTTTAATAGTGGTGATTGATCTGATTTAGATGCAACTTGTTTTTAATGTGTTACATCAATCCATTGCAAAAATAAAGTTCTTTAACGTCTGGAAGCTGAGGTTCTAAGTAAAGCTTATAGGTTGGATATGCAATCTCCTGATGAAGGACGAGTTGTAGTATCGACCTCTGTGCGATTTCAATCTTTTTATGTGATTGTCCTCCCCATGCTGATAAACCATATATAGAATAGGGTAGACGAAAGAGTGGTGGAAAATATATAGATAGTCTTTGTTAAAAAAATCACGAAAACACTTGAACGTTGACATCTTACTCTCTTCAAGGACCTCTGTGTGTGCATTCCACTTAAAATTTTTGTCTCGTATTAAACCGAAGTACTTAATTTTGTCGACTAATTGGATTTCTTTGTATATAATATTTTATTTGAAATTTGAGTTAATTGTAATTTGGAGATAGTCCTTCATCACAAGTTTTTGTGTAATTAATAGTCATAGTTTTTTCTGGAAAAAATTATAACTGTTGTAGACTCATTTTTAATTTCACTTTTTAAGGTGTACCAATCACTACTTGTATAGATGACTGCTGTGTCGTCAGCGAAACTGATAATTTCGCCAACAAACTGAAAAGATCGGTGATATATAAATTGAACAGTAAGGGGCCTAACACTGTACTTTGGGGTACCCCATAGGTCACTACCTGTTGTTGGCTTAAAGCACTGTTTATTTCAACACGCTGATTTCTGTTTGATCAATAACTTTCCATGAGGTTATATGTGGTACCTCGAAATCCTAAGCTTTCTTGAGAGGCCAAAAGAGCTTTGTGGCTGATGATATCTAATGCCTTGGCAAGATCAACAAAAATGGAAGCAGTTGGTTTACTTATATCCATATTTTCATAAAAATTAAGATAGATTCAGATCACGCATACAAAATATATGTCAGACAAGCTGCGAACGAAATAAAAAGAGATTCGAATAAATTTTGGGACTTCTTAAATTCTAAGCGAAAATCAACAAGCATATCAAGCAGAATTATTTACAATGGTAATGAACTTTTGGAACCGAACGACATATTAAATGCTTTTGCGGATAACTTCTCCAAATACTACTCGTCTTCATCAGCCACCAAAGAAACTGATGACTTTTTAATGAGCAATAAACTACTACTCTAGATTTGAGGAGGATGAAGTTGTCTTAGCCTTGAAGCAAATAAAACCTAAGATGACTACCGGACCGGATAATGTACCAGCTTTTATTTTGCGTAAGTCTTCCTCCGTTGGCGTGTCCTTTGACCGTTTTATTCAACTTGTGCCTTACCACCTGCACAATTCCAGAATTATGGAAGTAGTCTAAAGTATGTCCAATACACAGAAACGGAAGTAGCAATGATGTATCAAATTTCAGACCTATATCAATATTGTGCAATTTTTCAAAAGTCCTTGAGGTATTAATATATAACAGACTATCAGCATCATCAGCATCATGTCAGCAGAAAAATATGTGTTCAACAACATGGTTTCATGAAAGGACGCTCAAAAGTATCAAATCTGATGAACTTCACACAGACTATAGCAGAAAACATTGACAGAGGATTACAAACAGATGTGATCTACACAGACTTCTCCAATGCTTTCGACAGAGTTGATCACAGGATGCTATTGCATAAGCTGAAATCTCATGGAGTCTTTAATACAACTATTTAAGTCCTACCTCACTGGAAGAAATCAACTTGTTATGTTTAATGACATCAGATCGTATGTAACCAATTCCGGGGTGCCACAAGGCATTAACCAAGGGCTTTTATTGTTCGTCATATTTGTGAATGACATAGTTAATGCTGTTGGCGAGAATTGTGTACTTTATGCTGACGATCTGAAATTGTTTTGTAGTTAATGAATCAGGCTGTGATCAACTTTTAGAAAATCTGTTTAGGTTGGATGTTTGGTGCTCACAAAACAATCTACCATTAAACATCAATAAATGTTACGTAATGTCTTACACTTTGAAGAAAAATCCTCTGTTATCTGGCTATACCTTGTCAGGTACCTCTATTCAGAAGACTTCAACTTTATGGGAGTTAGGCGTGACATTTGATTCCCAACTAACATTCGCCAAACACATTGACAGCAAAATTTCCGAGGCAAACCGCATGTATGGCTTTATTGTAAGAAACTGCCGTGACTTCACTCAAAGTACCTCCTTGAAGTTGCTGTAGTATGCATATGTTAGGTCGAAGCTTGAGTATGTATTGCTAATTGGGAATCCGCATCATATTGTTCATATAAGTTGGCTTGAATGTGTTCAAAGACGTTCCTTAAAATATTTGTCACTGAAAGGGAATGGCGTTTACCCGCCCATAGGTATACCTCATGATTCCTTTCATGAAAAA